TTTGAAATAGCCAGTGGTCTGATCGAGTGCATCTGGTTAGAAGGGAGTGAGAAACTGGTGTGTGTGATCAGTAATCAGGGGTGGAAAGACAGAATAAGGGAGGTAAGAGAGGTGAGAGAGGCAAGCACAGCCGAGCAAACCTGACACTTCTAGGCTTCTAGGCTTCTCTCAAACTGTGAGGATTCTTCAGACTGTGTTGCCCTGAGCTCCATTAAAAACAACACTTTGTTATATATATCATGTACACATATGGAAATGACAATAAACCTAAATCTAAGTAGCTCTCACAAACACACAGTATTATACTGACTCTGGTGGTGATTCACGTTGATCAAAAATTTTTGTTCTCAAATGTATATGAAAGCTGTCCTGGGCAACTTGCTTTAAAATGTAATCATTTCACTAATTAATAAGTATTGGTTACTCAACCCTATAGATGGATTACTGAATGGGTGTAACTGGTCACAGGCCCATGAGGCCAAGGGTTTAGTCCAAACCCTTGGAACCAGAGCCTCTGTCAGAAGTGACTGTTGACAATTTATGTTGGAAAGTCAGTTAAATTACTTGGAAAAAGACACAAAACAACCATTCATGCAAGGTGGTTGCAAATAGACACAAATGACCACAAAGACTCAAAACAACTACAAAGAGGCACATAAATACTGCAAAGACACACAAAATAACTCCACATAAATGCAAAATGGTCACAAAGAGACTCACAGTAACATAGTCACACACAATATCTACAAACAGGCAAAGACTGACCAAACAGAGATGCTAAATCACCACTAAGGCCCATGACACACCACCACCACTCACCAGCAGCCAGACGGTGGCCGACGGCTGGCACATAGCCACTGTCGGGCCTTTGGTGAGTGTCTGTCGGGGCTCATCTTTGTGGTGTATGCCTCAGCACTGGCAATAGTTGAAGCCTGTTGGTGGCTTTTCTGCCAAATAGGCATGTTGGATGGGTGTCGGGCTCATTGGTGAGAGAGACCACTCTACCTGGAGGTTCTGCTTAGTGAATCATTGCATGAGAAAAGAAACTTTCAGCCAAGTCCCTTCAGCCTGTGAATGTAGTATCCATGATTTCACCCATTTAGTGTGGTTTCTCTTTGTTTTCTTCCTTGACAACCTCTTCCATAACCAAAAGGCCAAGGACAGACAACAGCAGTGCCATTTGCAACTTCTTATCAGACACAGAGTAACAAAGAGTCACAAAAATACAACAAGACATGTAAACATTTACAAATGGGACACAATATGACTGCAAGTAGGGAAAAAATGATTGGGGCAAAACGAGCTGATGTAGGGAAGTAATCAGAGATGAAAAACCACAGTAGTCACTCCTTAGGTAGGGGGTTAGCAAAGTAAAGCAAAGGATGACATATTTTGCTGAAATAGGGGCTGTTGTATTCTTTGTGGTCATTTGGGGTCTCTTTAAATCTGGGATTCTTGCAGCAATGTGGGAGGGCTGGGGGCCTTTTACATGTCTGTCTAATGTTTCTCTCACCTGTTTTCCCAGGTAGGCTGGTGGGAAAATGGTGTGCTGAGGCTTCGATACCCAGCTTGGTCCCGCTATGGGCCGTTCCTTAAACCACCTGATGATGCCCAGCACCTACGCGTTGTCACACTAGAAGAAAGGCCTTTTGTCATTGTGGAGCTGGCAGATCCTGCATCTGGGACCTGCATCCGAGACTCAGTGCCATGCCGACGACCCCTTAATGCGAGGTTTGAATTCTTTTGGGTAGAAGAGAAATCTAAAAAAAAAATCACTGAGATTAGTTTTGGGTTGATGCGTACTTCTGTGTGTGCCATGTTATTAACATCACGCAAAATGAAAAAGTGGTACTGGTAGTAACTCTAAGGAAAAAAGAATAGTAGTCTCACCACTTTATTTACAAGTGTTATGAATGGAGTTCCTAAGCACTCATGATGCCATCCAATTGAGATGGCATCAATCACCTATTATAAACCATGGTCTCTTCACACCCTGACCATAATCAATAACAACCTTCTCTCCAGAGGATCAAGGGAATGACTCAAGGGTCTGCAATCTGATATATCCACAGTGGAGCTATATGGTTCATCAGCTTCTGAAGGGATGATAGCACCTATCCTACACTGGTCGATCAAGCCTGTCACCAAGGGCTCGGCCACAATTTCCCTCCACTGTGACTGTTTCTTTCCGTTTTGCTCATTTTCCTTTTCTTCCCTTTCCCTTCGTTTTCTTTCCATTTCACTTTTCTCATAACTCATCCAGTGATGAAATGCACCATTACAACCAATCAGCAGCATTAACATCAATCAGGATGAAGTTTTTAAGGCTTTGACACTTTTACTTTGATTTTACAAATTATTTTCTTCTCCGTGACTCTTTCACAGCACCATCCATGAGGGCATGGTTCCCATGAAGCAGTGCTGTAAAGGCTTCTGCATTGACATCCTCAAGAGATTAGCCAAGATTGTTGGCTTCACCTATGACCTTTACTTAGTGACCAATGGGAAGCATGGGAAAAAAATTGATGGAGTCTGGAATGGCATGATTGGGGAGGTGAGTTTTGTTTATGCTTATGTGTGGCTGCCTGTGGTTCTGCCTGTCTGCCTCTGTGAGCAATGTGTTCTCAGTGTCATTCCTGTGTCACTAGCATATTTGTGTAAGGTGTGTGTGTCCGGATTTATGTTTGTACCTTAGCAAGTTTTGTGTTGCATTTTCAGTCAATGAGCTGCATAACAACCTTTCTCAGCATTAGCTACTGAGTTCTGGGTGAGCAGTTAAACACTGAGCTCTGTTTTCCTGAAATATGGCACATAGACAAGCGAAGGCACATATGGGTGTGTTCAACAATTTTTTTTCTTGCAGTTTTGCCAGTGAACACTGGTGTATGGGACTCATCCAGGTATATTCAGGCTAAACGGAGAAGAAATTATTAGTCAGAGGAATGTGTTATGAGTTTGGCTGGATTTTAGTAATGATCATGCAGTGCCAGAAACCTGACTCTGATTGATGTCATGATGGTTGATCTGGAGAGTCTGTCAATGAACATTTTCACATGAGGAAAATACTCATGAGGATATACTTGTCCGTGAGGTGTCGAGCCTCCATCACTGCATTTGTCTTCTTCTCCTTTCAATTATGTACTCCATTCCTAATTTGTGATAAAAAAAATATTTACTGTATAAGTATTGCACATAAATATTCACTCAGTAGTCTGCCACTATGACTTAACTATATAGCGTTAGTTACTCCCAGCTGCATCCTATAAGGACAGATGGTGCGTCATGATGCACGCCAACCCTGTTTGATCATATTCATAGAGCCGCATACTGAGGACTAGTTTGTTTATTTTATTTGAAAGCAGTCTTTTTAAATTATTGCACATATTTAATATTTCCAATAAATTATTCATACTAAATTCCAGAAGGTCAGATATGGATTTAGCAGTATATTTTACATTGATGTGGCTGTTAATATACATTTGGGTACCTGTTCTCCTGCTTCCTAGGCTAAACTGTTTGGAAAATTGCAATGTACCTGCATTGCAATAAAATGTGGTTTAAGCAAGTTTTGACCCAAAGGCAATTTGGGGTCAAAATGACCAGCTGCCTAATTGTAAACATAAGCATAAACATGGTCTCAAGCCATTTCAGCAAAAGAGCATTCTTTCATGACAAGAAACTACCAAACACACCAATATGCAATAAATAAATTAATTAATACATTAAAAAAGAGATTTGTGCTGAAGGATAACTGCATAAAGACTGCATTTAAAGTTGCGCCAACTTTGTCCTATCAGGAAAATAGAGCCCTATGTGTCACATCAATCACTGTGGGAGCTATGGCCACTTAAAAACTGACAGAAATCAGGCACCTGTAATTTATTACGCACATGCGCGTGTGCACACACACACACACACACACATATGCAGACAAATGCATACGTTATAATAGAGAGCAAAAATCACATAGTTACACATATGCTCCTGCAAACACATTCCTGTGGTGTGTTTATCTGCAGAGACACACACAAGCACATAAAAGCACAAAGACACATGTACACACTTTGTCCCCTGGCTAGTTGTGATAAGTCTATCTTATTTTCCTGGCAATACTCACTAGGGTTCATGATCTCCCATCAAGAAAAGACACAGACTTGCTGGCATAAACATATAATAACAAGTACACACAAACTGGCAAGCACACACAAATGATCGCACACATACTGAGATCAATACAGGGGCTGCTGTTTCATTGACCTGCCCCGCTGTTTCTATCTTTGTCCCAGACATAACTTGCCAAAAGCCAGTTGTCATGCGTTCCAAAACAGTTGCACTGCGCTGTCCAGCTCAGTCATTTTTAATGCAGGCCCAGGTCAGAGCTGTCTATAGAATCTATTTTCACATGCAAAGGGCTAAGCAGGTTTTGTTTCCTCAGACTAATGTCTGTCTTTTAATCAGATGTTCTAAAGCCTGCCATTCTTTGATCGGTAATCCAGAGACTGGGCAAAGTTGAGGGGAGGGCGCTCTGCTTTTCGCTTCGCTTCATTTTTCTGCTGATTTTCTCTGAAAAGCGGATGTGCCACATCTAATGTAGATTAACATTTCACTTGTACAATCAGCAGACACAGCAGTTTTTGAGCTTTTCTAGAAGGTGGCAGACGGGCCCAGGATCATTTTGCATGCTAAAGAGATGCACAAGAGACATGTGTTCAGTACTTGTACCAGATTGAATAATTGACCTTCCTCATGCAGACACATCTGAGGGTGCACAAAGGGTCAGGGTACAGGAATCTCACTATGTCTCCTAGAAATAAACCTTTGTGGACTGTAAAAGATTGGCTTTATCTGTTTATAATCATTACAGAATTACCCAAATTAGCTTTCTCTGTTACGGCTCTTCCCCTTTAGGTAGTATACAAGCGAGCAGACATGGCTATTGGCTCACTGACTATCAACGAGGAGAGGTCAGAGGTTGTGGATTTCTCTGTCCCTTTTGTGGAGACTGGGATCAGTGTCATGGTCTCCCGTAGCAATGGAACTGTTTCACCATCTGCTTTCTTAGGTAAGAGGCTCTGTTTATTGGTAGCGTCTAGCTGATGTACAGAATCTAATCTAATTATAAAGCCTTGAGCTTGCATAAAAAGCCTCTGTCTTTGGTCACTGGTACATCTAGATTAGTCATTACCTTTCCCAGGTGCTCTCGTCTTCCCAGCTTAGACTTGTCACTCCTTCAGCAGACTTGAGGCTCCAGTGGGAAAGAAGTGTTATTGGCCTTCAGACTGCACTGAGATGCTTCTGGAGAATATATTTTTTCCATTGGGTTCTGTTTTCATTCCATACAATGTTCCTCCCTGTGTTTATTACACATTACAGTATAAAGTACATGCTAATGAAAAAATAATAATTTATAATAATGCAGCACAAACCAGTTTAATAAGCCCCTATGCTACAGTATGTGTTTATGCAATCTTTTCTTGTTTCCCTTCAAAGAGCCCTACAGTCCAGCGGTGTGGGTGATGATGTTTGTCATGTGCCTGACCGTGGTGGCTGTGACTGTCTTCATATTTGAGTTCTTCAGCCCTGTGGGCTACAACCGCAGTCTCCAAACTGGCAAGAGTGAGTGATGGGTCTAAGCTGTCTGTTTCCCAGTCTGATAGATGTCGGCATGCAGTCCATCACTGTTGTCACACCGATCAAATGGACAAACACTGAACTCCCTCCTCAACTGTGGTTAAAAATATCAAAGCCAAAATGACTTTTAGTATGATAATTAACTTTTGGCTTCTATTGAGTTTAGTTTCTTGTTGTATGATTGGTCAGTTGTCATTTTTAAAATGAAGGGATGGACATTTGCTTCCCTGAATCCTTTACTGTGAGTGCAGCAGAGAGGAAATTATACCTACACTATGTTGAACTGCATCCAAGTATTGTTGATACTGAAGCAGCCATTTATTATTCAGCAGCATAGTTTGTACCCCTGTGATATTCAGTATGCCTGATGCCTCAGCTCAATACCCAGTCCGACATGCCTTTTTACTGCCTGATTGCTGTGCTCTATATAATTTTACTTCTCTGTCATCCTCTCATATATCCCTCTCATTCACTCTCATCCTTCCTCCTTTACTCCTATTGTATAAAGGCAGGAGTTTTTGAGTCCTTTGAGTGGTGATTTGCACCATGTGATTTAATCATTTGTAAGATCACATAGCAGCTGAATTGAACGCTGTCATCCTTGAAACATATAGTTACTGCCTTATGAGCTTTGGTGTCATAAAAGGTCAAAGGTATTTTCACAGAGAGTAAACCCAAAGTTTAATTTAAATCGGCCACCTCATCTACACGATTGTGCCATGTACTCACTTGATTACATTCTAAAATGAAAATTGTGCTGGTTGTGCTACAACTACTCATTATATTCCTCATTCTGTTTTTCCTCTCCATCATTCTGGCCAGAGTCGGGGGGATCTACTTTCACTATAGGAAAGTCAGTATGGCTTTTGTGGGCTATTGTCTTCAACAACTCTGTGCCAGTGGAGAACCCTAGAGGAACCACCAGCAAGATCATGGTGTTGATCTGGGCCTTCTTTGCCGTCATATTTCTGGCCTCCTACACTGCTAACCTTGCTGCTTTCATGATCCAGGAGGAATACATTGACACAGTGTCATGCACGCCAACCCTGTTTGATCATATTCATAGAGCCGCATACTGAGGACTAGTTTGTTTATTTTATTTGAAAGCAGTCTTTTTAAATTATTGCACATATTTAATATTTCCAATAAATTATTCATACTAAATTCCAGAAGGTCAGATATGGATTTAGCAGTATATTTTACATTGATGTGGCTGTTAATATACATTTGGGTACCTGTTCTCCTGCTTCCTAGGCTAAACTGTTTGGAAAATTGCAATGTACCTGCATTGCAATAAAATGTGGTTTAAGCAAGTTTTGACCCAAAGGCAATTTGGGGTCAAAATGACCAGCTGCCTAATTGTAAACATAAGCATAAACATGGTCTCAAGCCATTTCAGCAAAAGAGCATTCTTTCATGACAAGAAACTACCAAACACACCAATATGCAATAAATAAATTAATTAATACATTAAAAAAGAGATTTGTGCTGAAGGATAACTGCATAAAGACTGCATTTAAAGTTGCGCCAACTTTGTCCTATCAGGAAAATAGAGCCCTATGTGTCACATCAATCACTGTGGGAGCTATGGCCACTTAAAAACTGACAGAAATCAGGCACCTGTAATTTATTACGCACATGCGCGTGTGCACACACACACACACACACACATATGCATACCAATGCATACGTTATAATAGAGAGCAAAAATCACATAGTTACACATATGCTCCTGCAAACACATTCCTGTGGTGTGTTTATCTGCAGAGACACACACAAGCACATAAAAGCACAAAGACACATGTACACACTTTGTCCCCTGGCTAGTTGTGATAAGTCTATCTTATTTTCCTGGCAATACTCACTAGGGTTCATGATCTCCCATCAAGAAAAGACACAGAAATGCTGGCATAAACATATAATAACAAGTACACACAAACTGGCAAGCACACACAAATGATCGCACACATACTGAGATCAATACAGGGGCTGCTGTTTCATTGACCTGCCCCGCTGTTTCTATCTTTGTCCCAGACATAACTTGCCAAAAGCCAGTTGTCATGCGTTCCAAAACAGTTGCACTGCGCTGTCCAGCTCAGTCATTTTTAATGCAGGCCCAGGTCAGAGCTGTCTATAGAATCTATTTTCACATGCAAAGGGCTAAGCAGGTTTTGTTTCCTCAGACTAATATCTGTCTTTTAATCAGATGTTCTAAAGCCTGCCATTCTTTGATCGGTAATCCAGAGACTGGGCAAAGTTGAGGGGAGGGCGCTCTGCTTTTCGCTTCGCTTCATTTTTCTGCTGATTTTCTCTGAAAAGCGGATGTGCCACATCTAATGTAGATTAACATTTCACTTGTACAATCAGCAGACACAGCAGTTTTTGAGCTTTTCTAGAAGGTGGCAGACGGGCCCAGGATCATTTTGCATGCTAAAGAGATGCACAAGAGACATGTGTTCAGTACTTGTACCAGATTGAATAATTGACCTTCCTCATGCAGACACATCTGAGGGTGCACAAAGGGTCAGGGTACAGGAATCTCACTATGTCTCCTAGAAATAAACCTTTGTGGACTGTAAAAGATTGGCTTTATCTGTTTATAATCATTACAGAATTACCCAAATTAGCTTTCTCTGTTACGGCTCTTCCCCTTTAGGTAGTATACAAGCGAGCAGACATGGCTATTGGCTCACTGACTATCAACGAGGAGAGGTCAGAGGTTGTGGATTTCTCTGTCCCTTTTGTGGAGACTGGGATCAGTGTCATGGTCTCCCGTAGCAATGGAACTGTTTCACCATCTGCTTTCTTAGGTAAGAGGCTCTGTTTATTGGTAGCGTCTAGCTGATGTACAGAATCTAATCTAATTATAAAGCCTTGAGCTTGCATAAAAAGCCTCTGTCTTTGGTCACTGGTACATCTAGATTAGTCATTACCTTTCCCAGGTGCTCTCGTCTTCCCAGCTTAGACTTGTCACTCCTTCAGCAGACTTGAGGCTCCAGTGGGAAAGAAGTGTTATTGGCCTTCAGACTGCACTGAGATGCTTCTGGAGAATATGTTTTTTCCATTGGGTTCTGTTTTCATTCCATACAATGTTCCTCCCTGTGTTTATTACACATTACAGTATAAAGTACATGCTAATGAAAAAATAATAATTTATAATAATGCAGCACAAACCAGTTTAATAAGCCCCTATGCTACAGTATGTGTTTATGCAATCTTTTCTTGTTTCCCTTCAAAGAGCCCTACAGTCCAGCGGTGTGGGTGATGATGTTTGTCATGTGCCTGACCGTGGTGGCTGTGACTGTCTTCATATTTGAGTTCTTCAGCCCTGTGGGCTACAACCGCAGTCTCCAAACTGGCAAGAGTGAGTGATGGGTCTAAGCTGTCTGTTTCCCAGTCTGATAGATGTCGGCATGCAGTCCATCACTGTTGTCACACCGATCAAATGGACAAACACTGAACTCCCTCCTCAACTGTGGTTAAAAATATCAAAGCCAAAATGACTTTTAGTATGATAATTAACTTTTGGCTTCTATTGAGTTTAGTTTCTTGTTGTATGATTGGTCAGTTGTCATTTTTAAAATGAAGGGATGGACATTTGCTTCCCTGAATCCTTTACTGTGAGTGCAGCAGAGAGGAAATTATACCTACACTATGTTGAACTGCATCCAAGTATTGTTGATACTGAAGCAGCCATTTATTATTCAGCAGCATAGTTTGTACCCCTGTGATATTCAGTATGCCTGATGCCTCAGCTCAATACCCAGTCCGACATGCCTTTTTACTGCCTGATTGCTGTGCTCTATATAATTTTACTTCTCTGTCATCCTCTCATATATCCCTCTCATTCACTCTCATCCTTCCTCCTTTACTCCTATTGTATAAAGGCAGGAGTTTTTGAGTCCTTTGAGTGGTGATTTGCACCATGTGATTTAATCATTTGTAAGATCACATAGCAGCTGAATTGAACGCTGTCATCCTTGAAACATATAGTTACTGCCTTATGAGCTTTGGTGTCATAAAAGGTCAAAGGTATTTTCACAGAGAGTAAACCCAAAGTTTAATTTAAATCGGCCACCTCATCTACACGATTGTGCCATGTACTCACTTGATTACATTCTAAAATGAAAATTGTGCTGGTTGTGCTACAACTACTCATTATATTCCTCATTCTGTTTTTCCTCTCCATCATTCTGGCCAGAGTCGGGGGGATCTACTTTCACTATAGGAAAGTCAGTATGGCTTTTGTGGGCTATTGTCTTCAACAACTCTGTGCCAGTGGAGAACCCTAGAGGAACCACCAGCAAGATCATGGTGTTGATCTGGGCCTTCTTTGCCGTCATATTTCTGGCCTCCTACACTGCTAACCTTGCTGCTTTCATGATCCAGGAGGAATACATTGACACAGTGTCAGGCCTCTCGGACAA